TAGCAAACACGAATAGCCAAGTGTAGTGCCGGCATGAAGCTTTGCCTTTTTTTATTCATGTGCTGTAATTAAAAGAACATTTTTTTGTAATATTCTTAAGCTTTGGTAAGTTGACTTTGTTGTAAGCGTGTTATTTTTTTATTGTTCTTTGTCATATGATTGTAATAAAGGTAATTTTTGTAAAATATATTGTCTTTTTATTCCATTGTATCCGTTAATAATTACACGCCTAGATACAGTATTAACTGCATAGAAGCGCCGGAAAAATATCTACACTACATTATGGTATGAAAGAATGTTCTTTAAAGGAAGTGGTGGCGCTGGCCGACTTCTCCTGTTACGTATGGTTGCGTTAAATTTGCTCAGAGTCCAAAGACTGATTGCAAAATATATCTTAAAGTTAAAACCCGATTTTAAACACGATAGAACGCGTTTTCCTAGTTAAAAATAGTTTTTATTATAAATGCCTTTGTTTAAACTAGAAATAACTAGTCAAAATTATTTTCACTCAAATTTACCACTGATATATTTGATTTTCAGATAAAACTAGTTGTCACTCCGAGCTTTAGTTAAAACTAGCATTAGAGAAACTAATTTGTAAGTTTGGGATTGAAAACAAGATATAGTTTTAAAAAGATTTAGGCAACAGAGTCATATCGTCACTTGTAATATGAATAACCATAACCGCCAACAGCCAATTTTTTCAGGAGAGGCAAAAAAGTAATTTGAAAATTAGAAACAATATTATATTGGAAGTCCAATATATAATAAATTCTTCAGTTTTAGTTAATTTGTGGCAGGGTAGTAAGGTATAAATAAACGAGTTTATAAGTAGGTAAAAACAGTTAAATAGTTAATAAAAAGTTAAAACTTTGTATAAGTATATTATGCTGAAGTATATCTAATTTAATTTCTGAAATTTATAAAAGTTACTTTATTTCAATGTATGTTAAATGATTAAATGAAAATAATTATGTTATTGGAAAAAAAGAATACATCTAAAAAAAAATGGATGCGTGTAACTTATGTACGCGCGTGAGAAGTTATACTTCTTTAGCATCATTAAAAATATTTTTTAATTGCATGCAAATAATTAATAATTACAAATAATTACAATAAAATAATAAAAGGACTGGAAAAGCATAAGTTCAGTTTTAATTTGAAAAATATTCAAAATATTCAATTAAAATCACTACTGAATTTAAGTTATTAGTCCATATGTAATTAGCACTTGTAAGTAACTAAAACACATTGTGTCTATATAGAAACCAGAAACATGTGGATAAATATTATAAATATGAAAACAGTGATCAGAGGCGACGAGCGTGCCAACATTGTTTTTGACAACGCGATCATCTTATGGAGCTCCGTGGATCGTTCAAAGTACCTTTCGAACAGATGTCTATTATTAGACACTAACATTCATAACGCGCCCGCGGCCAACTTCATGGTGTTACTATTGTGTTACAGTGATGCGCGCGCATCTCGAAATTTCACTCACATGATTTTTTCATAACGCGCCCGCGGCCAACTTCATGCTGTTACTTTTGGGTTACAGTGATGCGCGCGCATCTAAAAATTTCACTCTCATCATTTTTTCACAACGCGCCTAAAGAAGTATAACTTCAATAAACTTATTGTATAAAATAAAGCCTGATCCCATTTTTTTTATTTTTATAAATAGGCATTATTATAATAATTCTTATTTGCCATGCCCGACAGGGTCTATAATCTGATCTGTAAATATTTTGAACACCTGTTGTAGGTTATTCAGGTGATGTGGTTATTGAGAACAGTTTTAATTGACTCGCTTCGGAAAAACGCGTGTTGGTTAGTAAGAACTAGTTTTCTAAACTGATATTCCATTTTGAGCATTAGTCAATTCTAGTTTTAACAAAGGCATTTAGTAAAAACTAGTTCTAACTAGGGAAAACGCGTCAGAATATGATTACTGATTTAAAAGCGGTTTCCAGCAACATTGTCATCGTTTTTCAATTTGTTTGCCATGAATTAACTTTGGTTGGCTGAACAAGCAGGATGATAACAACTTTTTTTTATCTTCGCCTATCGGGTAGATCATCAAAAGGTATTGAACACTTTTTTCCTTTTCACGTAATCCAAATACTTATAACACAGATAATATATTATTGATTTGAAATGTCGCACTACGTCACGTCTTGGTATCTAAATTTTTTACCTAGAAGTGACCTCCCCAAACTTCGACGTGCTTTATCTTTGTAATTATTTGGTTGCTGCTTAATTTTTTGATAGCATAATTGACGGACTATAATTAAATTTCATTGATTCTACCCCGTCATAGGAGTGCTATTGTCGGTGTAGCCTACAAATTGAACTTAAGGTTTCTAAATAATAAAATTAATTGAAGCATAAGGTGAATAAGCAAAAGGCATTTTTTTGCATATAATGTAGGTTTAATACAAAACAATGTACTCAGTCATTCAAAAGCAATAACTTTAAATTATACAATAATTAAATTTTCCTTTTGACGTTCGAGACAAGACGAGTACCATTACAAGATTTAAGAATTCGACGCCACCTTTGCAAAGACTACAATTAATACTAGTTTTGTTGCGACGTAATAAAGTTGCAATATTTTTGTACTTGGTGTAATTATCCACTTGTAGGTAGTTTATTTTGCCATTGCACTGAAAAGATCTAGGTAAAAGTTACATTTCACACCCTCTATACTATCGCTGCCTAACTTTTATTCTGCCAGTGTATCTTTCGTCGTTGAAGTTTTCATATACCAAGTCTGGCGTTTCTGGCCTCGTAGCTAAAGCCCTTTGGAAAGTTTCTAGAATGTGCTGTTTCTCCAAAAATAACTTGTCCCGTTTAGAAGCTTTTGATATGGCTGCTAAAGTTGTGCTTACCCAAGCTTCGTAATAAGGTTTGGTGTGTTTATTGATACTGGCTGGTGCCCATTTCGCCACTTCTGTTTGAGGCGAATTACCCCGCACTAGAGATTCTGGGGATTCAGATAGACGCTTCAATTTACTCCTTTTCCGACCAGCCTTTTTTGGAGCCAAATGCTTACGTGTTTTGACTTCTTTTGCTTCGACTTTCGCTTCGACGGTGTCTTCGGTATTTTTTTTATTTATTGTGGCACTGGTATCCGATGTTTTGGGGGTATTATATTCGTCTGGCAACTTCACTTGTAACGCGGTCTGTTTAAGCCTGTCTCGTTCTACGAAAGTGACGGCTTTGTAGATTTTGGTCGAGTCGTTTTTGGATGTTACCGTTTTTATTACGGGCCTCCTTTGTGGTGTTGGATCCTTGTCCACTGCGTCTTTGAATGTTGGGGTTGTGACTGCCTTGTCTTTGGGTGCTCCTATTAGTTTTTTAGCAGGGCGGTCTGGACCTGGACATATCTGAGGCATTAGTTAGGCATATGGTTGAAACTATAAAGTTAAACAATAGTTTAATATTGATAGGTCATAGAGCATTTTTCAAGGCAAGAGAATTGGGGCATAGGATTTTAAGCTGGAATCGGAGCGTCCGTCTAGGGAGGTAACCTTTATCGAACAGTAAATCATAGTGGTAAAACAACGACACTTTTTGGTGGTGTTGTGTTTCAGTCGGTGAGTGGGGTTCCGAGGCTCCACAATGTAGGGGATCAGGTCAGGGTAGGCAAATGTGATAGTTTTTACGCTTCCACTCCAGTGGATACATGTTTTATAGATGTGAGGACCTCGTAGGTATCATTTTATTATTTTAAAGCCAGATTTTTAATCTAAAAGTGCCTATATATATTCTAGTAAATACTGTATTTATATATATAATTACTGCACCAGCTATCTTCGCGTCGGACTTTGCCATCACTTAACATCAGGTGGGATAGAGTCATTTGCCTACCTAAAAATTTAAAAAATATATAGACGTGTCTCATGAACCGGGCTGGGTGGGCTATTCGAGTATCAAAGGTACACAGACCTTAAAATATTTGTTAAAATCATTTTGAACTCTAAACCTACCAATTTTACTGGATAACAAATTATTGGTGCTAACATTAACGTTTTTAACTGTGTCGTTCTTTACAACTTTAACTATTTCCTTTTTTACAATGTCTGTAGGATTCAGTGCGTTAGGGTTCTTCGCCTTAGGCATATACTTCTCCCTAATCTTTCTTCTCTCATCGAGTTCTACATTTCTACTCTGTGTTGATTCTATCTCTTTTCTCTTAACCGTATCTGAACGTTCTTCAGCTTTAGACGCTTCAACTATTCTTCGCGGTGCATTAGCTCTTTTGTCCAATTTCGCTTTTACAGTATCACCAGAGTCAGGTTGAACCACCTTTGTATTAGAAACCTTATCAACATTGTTCTTAGCACTTGTTTCATTTGCTTTCTTCAAGTCGCCCCTGTCTTTTTTTTCGATTTTTCTTTCTGTGTGTTCGTGTTTCTTCAAATTTCTCTTTTCCATGCCAAATTTTTGTAATAATTAGGTAAATGAAAATATCACAGAAATTTACTGTTTTGTTAATACATGACAATGTTTTGACTTTCTACTGGGCCAACGTGATTCGTCGTGATTTTTGCTGTCAGTTAATTAAAAAGTTCGTGTTAAAGAGGTATTATATGTAAGTAATTATCTGCAAGTAAAGATAGAAAGTTATAAATACATCAAATAATGTCTATAATTGGAAGGCTTGAAACTTGGCCATAGGATTTCGCTTATCAATAATACATATTATTATTTGTAGTTCATTGGGCCTAATGCCCATCATCTCCCATAATACATAGGAATTTATAAAATAAAAACTTACAAAAATAAGGTCATAAAAAGCAAAGATCTTTCCGTCATAATAACATGACATATATAACCTGTCATCATTACATCACATAATAATAAAATTTAAAAGATAATCATACCAACACTGAATGAGGAATCAACAAAATCATTTTACCTACCTATATCAATAAAAAAAAAACACAGTCAACAAAATGTTCAGCTTTGTATAGTAGATTATAGTAACAAAAGCCATGGAGCAGAGGTCTAATGTGGTAAAGTCGAAGTCTTCGAACAGCGCTATAGCAACCAAGTCGGAGCTGAGGGCGAGCACACGAAGCCACTTGCACTTCCACAGGAACATCACAAAGAAGAGAGGAGTGTACGTGGAGCATAAAGATACTATGACGAGGATCGGTGGATCTGGTAAGAACTTGGTATTGTAATGCTTCTTTGTACTATTTTATTTTTGAAATTCACAAAATAATTCCATCCACCCTTCATCATGAAAGTCATAAATCATCATGGTGTCTTGTAACTGATGTTGAGCGTTACTAGTGTTCTAGGCGTGAGAATAGTTATCCTGGTATAACTAACCAATGTTTGTAGAAGATTACAAAGTCGATGTTATGGAAAAAACGCGATTACTACCTATCTCAAATAAAATGAAGCCAACATTTTAGGCTAAAGGAATATTTATTTCGTAGGTAAAGTAATTCATTGTTTTCTTCTAATTATCTTGTCAATCCTAAAATACTAAAGTCGTAACCTGAACATCAGAATTTTAATGGTTAGGACAAGAATCAATTAGCTCAACTTAATTTTACAGATTGACATATGTGCGTTCTTAATTATTCGCTAAACAGACATCCAAAATAAGTTTTTTAAAATCAGATTATATTTACATCTTTTACAGAGGCAAACACAAGACAAGAAAAACCCGTTAAAGCTCCTCCACGACCACGGCCAGGTCAAAAAAAATTCTTAACGTCAGTCCTAACTATCCTTTCGAAGACAACAGAATCCACCCAATGCCCTGACGATGGCTCAAACAGTGCCATTCGTCAAACAAACAATCCTAGACAAATCACAAGAGGACGACCAGAAAAAAAGAAAAACGAAGTAGTCAACGACACGCAGAAAAAGAAGAAATACAGATCCAAAATTCTAAGTAACAGTGTTGGTAAAGACGAGAAAGATCAACAAATAATCGTACTACAAGAACAGAAAGATATCAAGCACACGTCTTCTATTTTCTACGAAAACAATTCTGCCAACTTTACTAATCTAACTGCTTTTATTAAAAATACTCGTCACGCTGATAAAGAACAAAAGAAACCAGAGAACATTACTGATACTGCACCAGTGATAACCAATACTGCACTGAGAAAAAATTTGGAAGAGAAACAAATGAAAAGAGATAAAAGAGTCAGAATTGAAGACCCAACTACTTTAGTAAGCGTTATCAACGCAGGGACACAAGACACAACCACCAAAGATAACGGTAAAGGAATGTACAATTTTTTCGTCGATTTACTAGAAACGATTGACGTGTACAATGCAACAGATATAGATAAAGAAGTTACGCTGTCCAGTAGTACGAGCTCTAGTAAAGTACCTTTGGAAATTAACGAATCTGTCGCTAATAAACTTGTTGTGAAATGTGATTCTTCAAATTGTGAAGGTAAAACGCGGAGCTCCAGTCGGGGAAGCCAGTTTTACTGCTTTAAAGACGATGGAGAATTGCGTAGAACTAAACAACTGATTTCTGAAACACCCAAGAGAAAAGAAAAGTACCGATATAACAGAACAATCAAAGCAGAGTCATTTTCGGCCAACACAAATCTGCAGCCCAAAAAGTTGAAAGCAAACAGTTTTAACATAGACAATAGGCAGTCCACATCGAAAAAGAGAAAGAAGGACACTGTACTGAACATGTTTAAAGAACAATTAAAAATGGACGTGAAATCTTTCGATGAGCCACAGAACTTGTATGAGGCGTTGAAGATCATAGCTGAAACCAAACGCAAATGCCAGAGGACTATACACTTCGAAGAGGAAATGAGGAGAAAACGCAGGGATTCCGGTTTCCCCGAGTGTACGTTCAAAAGTCCTAAGGTCATAAAAAATTGTAGGAAAAAGAAGACGAAAAACAATGTACTTGAACCCGTCCAAAAGCCGCTTGTAAATAAAGAACACGGAAAGAAAATGAGAAGGAAAGAAACCATTACAGCTAGTTCTGCAGAATCGCAATACTCTTTGCAAGTTCTCGGATATGACTACAAAACGCCTGTAAAACAGACTAGCCAAAGACCCAAAGAAGTAGTATTCACTTACCATTCAACTCCATCAAGCAGTGATGTAGGTGATTCTATAGAAGATCCCGAATACACAGACGGTTTTTTCAATACTTTCAAACGAGCTCCTTCAATAAGCAGCCATGAGTTTTAAATGATTAGTGGAAACTTGTAGTTTAGGTACACAATAGTCGAAATAAAATTCTGTTGTTCAAACATATTTTGGTTTACAGCTCCATGGGGCAAGTAGTTACAGCGTTCGGCTGCGATCGTTGAAGTTAAGCAACTTTCGCAGTGGTCGGTCATTGGAAGGGTGACCAAAAATTTACTATCTCGAGCTCCTCCGTGCTTTGGAAGACACGTTAAGCCGTTGGTCCCAGCAGTCGTTAGCACCCACCAATACTCACTGGGCCCGCATGGTGGGTCATGGCCCAATCTCCCTATTCCAAACATAGGAAAGGCCTGTGTCCCAGCACTGGGAACATTAATAGGCTGATGATGGATGGTGACTATAGTGTTAGTGACCATGAAAGTTTAAAACAATAAATTCAGCATTTAAAGCAATTAATCTGCGGTACGTATTTCGAGAATTATTATATAAAGTTACCGGAAGTTTGTTTTTATTTTGGCCGCTTATCGTTCGCGTTGGCAGACAGGGTCAGGCATTTTTGAGTGGACGCCAAGAATTACGTAGTACATCTATAACGTTAATGGTGTGCTAACGACTGCATATGCAGACGGGACCAAGGGCTTAACGTGCGTTCCGAATAAGGATCGCAATATCAGACTTTTCTACCAATTTCGATATTTTCAACAATGAAAAATAACGAATATCGAAATTTCGATTTTTTCGGAACTGAATGTATGTTCACATATTTATTAATAAGTTATTGAATTCAAAATTTCAATCATAATGATTCGAAAAAAATAAACTTTACATTTTATGTAATTCCTGGTGGTGGCCCAAACCACAGCAAATTAGCGACAGGAATTCATATTACACTACATGGCCTCGTATTAACTCCTCAACTGACGATTCCAACCATTTCCAACTATATATAGAGGTAATATCTTCGAAATTATTCTCATCTGCGTTGGAGGATATATTCAAGTGTCTGAAGTGGAAAGGCATACATGTTATGCCTTGTATGACCTTGGAAGATCTGAGCACTATGTCGAAGATTTTAATAGTGCTTCCCAAAGAGTATGTCTCGAGACGAAGACGACTAAAACAAAAGTCACGTCGAATGTCCATGAAATTCTCACTCCAGTAAAAATTGAAAACACTACACTCGAAATTGTTGACCACTGCACTACGTATAGGCACCCGGGACAAACAGTCTTGTTAGATAAGTCCAACTTCGAATAAGAAATATCTTGTCTAAGTCAGCTTGAATGGTAAGCATTCGGAAAATAACATAAGATATCCGTGTCCAAATTCAAGATAAGTCTTTGATTACGTGTCCTATAACACGGCTCAGGGTCACACAGCGAGCACTGGTTTACTCACGAGCGATACTTGGTATTGCCCCGCACGATAGAATTAGAAATGATTAAATCCGTAGGTGATCTAAAATAACCGATATCGCTCAAAGGATTACTTTGCTGAAGTAGCAATGGGCAGGACACGTAGCGACGCGAACTGATGACCGTTTGGGCGGAAAGGTTTTCGAATGGCAACCGCGCACCGGACGACACTCAGTGGATTGGTAAGACATCTCGACTCGGGCCATCTAGTGAAGGTCACGGGAAGCCGATGAGCGCGAGTGGAGGTAATCGATCGATGTTGATTCCTATGCTCAAAAGCAGCCTGATAGGCGTAGAACGGCCTGATATGATGAAGATGATCTATCAAACGAAGGAAATTCCAACAAACTTAGAGTTGGATTTTAGCTATTTGTATCATCTGCATATTGGAGATTTGGGATTCTGGTGATACTTATGGTGGTGACACCACTCTCCCAAAAGGCGCTCGTCTGATAAAACATTCTCCACATATGTTAAACAGAATGGGGGACAGGATGCAAGCTTCACGCTATTCCCAAATCTAAATAAATAAATAAATATTTCCAACACACACCAATTAGCCTAGCCCCAAAGTAAGCACTGTAAGGCTTGTGTTATGGGATACTAGGGTAACAGATAGAATACATATACAGTACATATATAAGTATATTTATATAGAAATACATATTAAATATCCATGACTGGAGTACAAATGCTCGTATTCATCACACAAATATCTGCCCCCACCGGGATTTGAACCCGGGACCTCTCGAGTCTGCGACACCATGCAACCCGGCGTTCAAACCACTCGGCCACGGAGGTCGTTTAAAGCCTTAGATGTTCTTTCAACCTCGTTATTCTGGTACAGCAATTGAACCAAAGCAACTAGATGTTTAGGCACTCCAAGTTCTTCTCATATCTTCCAGAGCCGTATATATTACACAGTCGAAGGCTTTGCTGTAGTTAAAAAAGCACATGGTTAAAGAATGTTGAATTAGTACCTAGTACTTTTAAATCATTAAGAGGACATTGAGCTGTTTGCGAGTCCCTTCACAATTTACGAAACCGGCTTTGCCAGTTCAAAAAAATAACTGATTCTATTATTTATTATGTGCTTATCTGTTTATTGTAAAGCTATTAGCGAAAATAAAAACAGATTAAAGAATTCCGCTCATTTGAATTAAGAAATGCTTTATTGTTAATATTATACTAGCAAACCAGTGAACCAAATAAATGTTCCCCAAAAAAAAATGTATTTAATTAATTGAGAACTTCGGAGATTTTGTGTGGTTTCGTTTGAAATAGAAATCACGTGATTTCTCGAAAACCGGAAGTGCTACGTTACTCACATCCGGTTTGTAGTCTTATCAGACTATTCTCAACTTATAACTTAAGCATTCTCTTTATCTATCTCTTACGGTTTGGCCGCTGAAACAGCACTACGGACGGACGGACGCACGGACTTGTCTAATAGATAAGAGATATTTATTTTCAATAGATAGTCAGTATCGAAAATTTATATATTCATAAATTCAAAATCGAAATTGAAATGTAGCAATTTTGCTCGAATATTTCGATATTCAAACCCTAGTTCCGAAGCTCGGAGGATCTTCACATAATGAATTTCCGGTCACCAATCGGCCGGCGGTCGGCCATTGAAAGAGTTGCTCGACTTCCACTAACGCAGACCGAACGCGCTAACTATTGCACATCGACCGCCTCATGTTTGTTTTTTTATAAAAGATTTAAGTGCATTTGATCGCAATCGCACCTGCCCCCGTAGCATCAGCACCACAATTTACATTACATCACGTTTTATATCGCGTCTTACTGTCAAATTCCATAGTAATTTGACACTTGAGCGTGATAAAAAAGCTTTACATATTATATCGTGGTGCTCATGCTAGGGGGATTTCGCGGTTCCGCACTTAATAGCGTAGAGTGTATTCTCAGCGTTTTTTAGCTGATAGTATACCGTAAGCGCTCGTGAGCCGTACGGACTCCTTAACGGCTACTCCGTTTCGCACCCGTGAGACTTGCGAGAGGAGACTTGTGTGAGGTCCGTTCCTTACCTCTGTGAAGTTAGCCCCCCACTTTTTGAATTTTATTATTATCTAGGTTGTTCTGGGTTGTTCTATGTTTGTTCTACATTGTTCCAAAGTATTATTTGAAAAAACTAAAATTTGAAGCTGCCAGACAAGAAAAACCGAATTTCTATGGTAGCCCCCCATGTTTGGAAATTCAATATTTTTTTAGTTGTTCCAAGTTGTTCCGAACATTGTTCCAAAGTATTATTTGAAAATATTCAAATTTGAAGCTGCCAGACAAAAAAACGTTTTTATGGTAGCCCCCCATGTTTGGAAATTCAATATTTTTTTAGTTGTTCCAAGTTATTCTAGTTGTTCCTAACATTGTTCCAAAGTATTATTTGAAAATATTCAAATTTGAAGCTGCCAGACAAAAAAAAGATATTTATGGTAGCCCCCCATGTTTGGAAATTCAATATTTTTTTAGTTGTTCCAAGTTGTTCTAGTTGTTCCGAACATTGTTCCAAAGTATTATTTGAAAATATTCAAATTTGAAGCTGCCAGACAAAAAAAAACGTTTTTATGGTAGCCCCCCATGTTTTGAAATTCAATACTTTTTTAGTTGTTCCAAGTTGTTCTAGTTGTTCCTAACATTGTTCCAAAGTATTATTTGAAAAAACTCAAATTTGAAGCTGTCAGGCAAAAAAAAAACCGTTTTTGAGATAGCCCCCCATGTTTGGAAATTCGTTATTTTTAAAGTTGTTCCAAGTTGTTCTAGTTGTTCCTAACATTGTTCCAAAGTATTATTTGAAAAAACTCAAATTTGAAGCTGTCAGACAAAAAAAAACGTTTTTCAGATAGCCCGCTAAGTCAAATCGTACTTGAGACAATAAATAAATCAACAATAATTTTAAACAATGACGATTGTATCAGTACAACCGTGGGCTATATCGTTCCAATTTCATTTAATCATTTTGAATAAAATTAATAGTTATAAGACAAGAAAACATTACACTATAGGGTAAACTCCCTAATTGTTGGCACTTTAAGAGTAGGTTCTATGTCAGTCAGACATTAAATTACCATAAAATCACATCTAAATGAGTACACATGTAACAGTATCAAGGAAATATAGTTCAATCTTTGTTTTCATAATAGTACAGTCAATGAAGGCAAAAATCCGCTATAACCTCCGATTTCGATGAACCTCCATCGATTTTCATGAAAAATGGTGATGAGGTGGGGGATACCATATGAAACAAATGTAACATAGTGCCAACTTGCGCTTTTTCCCTAGGGGTAGATCGACTCCAGGAATCGATAGAAAGACAAACTCTAAGCAAAAGTTGTTATATTAAGTTTTCGAAATAAATCAATACTTTCTGAGTTAATAATGATCAAAGATTGTGATTTTGCGTCAAAAAATTCATGTTTTAAGCTGTTTTTCATAAATATTTCAAAAGCTATGAGTTTAAAGAAAAATATATTATTACTAGACGCAACGAATATTCGGTTACTATTCGGTATTCGGCCTATTCGGCTGCTTTTATTATATTCGGCCGAATACCGAATACCTACATATTATTCGGCCGAATACCGAATACTTAAATAATAAATTTTG